GACCCCAAATTAATAATAAATTTTCGTGTGTGTGTTTGTTTAGTTTTAACTCTCTGTATATTCATGTTATGTCTTATATAAGCAATTTTTTCATTTTGCTTTTTTCTTTTTTTATCAAATAATTTCTCACTCTGTCTTAGAAGCGTTTCTTTCATTTTGTTTTTCTCTTTATTAAATAATTTCTCACTCTATTTATACACCAAATACCTACCTGCTTTACCATACCCTTCTTTCTATATATCTAAACCACGTCTTTGCAGATACCTTCCAGAGTCCCCTCGCTTCCTTTTGTCTAAGGGGAAAATAAGTGAGTGTGCCACCGTCCTTTTGCAGGTAAAGTCTTCACTAAAATACTTTTATTTACTTATATATGTATTTTTGATCTTCAAGTGTCAGTTCCGTTTCCGTTCCGTGATTTCAAATATCGTCGTCAGCAATATATATGTATGTATATATATATATATATATATATATATATATATATTATATATATATATATATATATATATTTTTTTTTTTTTTTTTTTTTTTTTTTTTTTTTTTTTTTTTTCTTTTTCTTCTTTCTTTTCTTTTCTTTTCTTTTTTACGGATGTCGGTCGAGTATTGTGAACTTTATATGAAAAAAATGAGTTTAATACATCACATAGCAAAATAAATGCCTAAGATTTGTTTGCTGTTAAGGAAAATCTGCATGGATGATTAGGCCTACAATGATTAGGCCTACTACTACAGATTAGGCCTACAGATTAGGCCTACAATGATTAGGCCCTACATGATTAGATATTAGGCCTACAATGATTAGGCCTACAAATTAGGCACGATTAGGCCTAACAATGATTAGCCTTACCCACAATGATTAGGCCTACAGGTGATTAGCGCCTACAATATTAGGCCCTACAATATTAGGCTACAGTCGTGATTATGCCTACAGTGATTAGGCCTACAATGTAGGCCTACGTGATTAGGGCCTTACAATTGATTAGGTCTACAATGATTAGCTACAACGATTAGGATGATTAGGCCTACAGTGATTAGCCTACAGTGATTAGGCCTACATGATTAGCCTACAATGATTAGCCTACAGTGATTGGCCTAACAATGATTAGGCCTACAATGATTAAGCCTACAATGATTAGGCCCAGTGATTAGGCCTACAGTGATTAGGCTACAATGATTAGGCCTACAATGGATAGCTACAATGATTAGGCCTACAATGATTAGGCCTACAGTGATTAGGCCTACACGATCCATTCGGCAGGCCTACAATGCATTAGCCTACCTACAGCCAACGAATTAGATCCACACATAACAATCTAGGCACCTTAAACGATTAGGCCTACAATGATTAGGCCTACAGTGATTAGGCCTACAATGATTAGGCCTACAGTGATTAGGCCTACAATGATTAGGCCTACAGTGATTAAGGCTACTGCAGTAATTAGGCCTACAATGATTAGCCTACTGATTAGGCCTACAATTGCATTAGGCCTACAATGATTAGGCCTACATGATTAGAGCCTACAATATTAGGCCTACAATGATTAAGGCTACAATGATTAGGCCTACAATGATTAGGCCTACAATGATTAGGCCTACAATGATTAGGCCTACAATGATTAGGCCTACAATGATTAGGCCTACAATGATTAGGCCTACAATGATTAGGCCTACAATGATTAGGCCTACAATGATTAGTGATTAGGGCCTACAATGATTAGGCCTACCTACAATGATTAGGCCTACAGTGATTAGGCCTACAATGATTAGGCCTACAACAAAATGCTTGTATAATTTAATCTAAAACAAGGTGTCATTGTCCTCTGGGTTGATTCCTCCATTTGGCCTTCGTTGTTCAGCTGAACCTCTGTTTTACTGAACAATATGACGAAACAATTTTAGACATTCTGAAGTACTGAAAAAAAATTATATCCATCACCAGTAAACTCCTTGTACAGATTCAAACTCTCTCTCTCTCTTTTCTTTCGTTCACATGCCCACTTTCTTTCCTTCAGCTTCTTCCTTCTCTCCCTCAAGAACTATGGCAATCATTGCCAAATGCCGCCTGAAAACTTTGCTATCTTGGAAGTCACTGATGTCGCGTCTTAAGAAGTCACTGCTGATAGGCGTGAAGTGACGTCACTGAAGCGTCACGGATATCACTGACACTGAACTGACACGGTACTGATGGAATACGAGATAGAGAATTGGTTGACATATAGGTAGACAGGTAGATAGATAAGTAGACATGCAAAGAGATAGAAAGATAGACAGCTAGATAAATAGCTAGATAGATTTATAGAGACTGGCAGACAGACATAGACAGACACAGATATAGATAGATGAAATAGATAATGAAAGAGAGAGAGACAGTCACGCAGGAAGAAATTATATAAGTATAATGTGCGAGAACAAAAGAAAAGTCAAAATGATAAGGATCATAGCGAAATTAAATGACAGAAAAAAGCAAAAAATGAATATTCACACAATGTTTCTGTTTTCCATATTTCCGTAGTAATCCTCTACATTTTAAATTTTGTTGAAAAATTTCTGTAATGCATAATTTCACTGCACATTATTAATAGCAGTAGTACTGGTAGTATTATATTATCATTATTACTATCATAAATATCATTTTAATTAGTTTGATTATGATTATAATATGATTATTGCGGTTTTTATTCTTACAGGTTTGTATATATTATTATATTATATATATATATATATATATATATATATATATATATATATATATATATATATATATATATATATATATATATATAATATATATATATATATATATATATATATATATATATATATATATATATATATATATATATATATAATATATATATAATATATATATATATATATATATATATATATATATATATATATATATATTATATATATATATATATATATATATATATATATATATATATATATATATATATATATATATATAATATATATATACATATGCACACATAGGCATACACAAGTTTATCTATGTATTTGTGTATACATGCATGTATATATATACATACATATATATATATATAATATATATATATATATATATATATATATATATTATAATATATATATAAAGGGAGAATGGGGAGGTCCGGACATTTCCATTTTTGAAATACATTCACTCACTTTGGGATAAAGGTTTTTATATTTAATTTGAAAATTGAAGTACAAAATGCTTTTAAACATTCAATTAATTTCAAGGCAATGAAAGAAACAAATTGAGAGCCCTCTGTATTATAATTATTCGAAAGATAATTAAAATTTTCAAAATCTTGGTTCTTGGTATTGCTTGGGTTTTCTAATACGTGAACAGACACAAAAAAAAAATAAAACAACAGCTACAAACGGTATATCATTAAATAAAACAGTATACAACTGCATCCATATCATTTTATACATTACCTGAACACTCTGATGGTTTAGCCTGACACAGTGACTTGATCGAGTTTGACCCAATAAGGGGACAGGTTTTACTTCACCCACTCTGTGCCATATCCCTTCCTAGTACAGTGTACCAGCATTCCTCTTTGTACTTGATTTCAGCGATAGATCAAAGTAAAACCTCAGGTAACTAACTTTACACAGTATTTCTGCTCAAAGGTTTACTTAATATGAAGGCAATATTTGGTCCGCCAATTTTTGCCACACCCTGTTGTCTCCCTGCTTGTTTTTCATCAGTCAAGTAACAAAGAACTGAAACCATAAGGAAATTTTACACAGACACGCATATAGCGAGCTATATTCATAAATAAATATATATATATATATATATATATATATATATAATATATATATATATATATATATATATATATATATATATATATATATATATATATATATATATATTATATATATATATATATATATATATATATATATATATATATATATATATATATATATATATATATATATATATAGACGCCCCCACAACACAAAACACCCACACAAACCCCCCCACACACAAACACCCACACAACCCCCACACACACACACACACACAAACACAAACACCCACCACCCCACACAAACACCCACAACACACCCAAACAATAACCCTCCCACACACACAAACAACCTCCACCCCACCCCACACACGAACATAACCACACAGTCCATAACATTAAAAAAAAAAAACCCCGATGCCCAGATAGCCAAAAAGAACAAGAAGACTGGAGTGTCACGCGCGCAGCTGGAGGCTGAGCTGAGCATCTTGTGGAGCCGACAGGAGAAAGAGGTGTCACTCCTTGAAGCCCTACGTTACCCGAAGCTCCGTGTGAGGATGCTCATGCTCTTTGTGATGAGGTGAGTGGGTGGTTTTACTTTATCCTTACCCTTTTCCTGTGGTTTTCCTTTATCCTTACCCTTTTCCTGTGGTTTACTTTATCCTTACCCTTTTCCTGTGGTTTTACTTATCCTTACCTTTTCCTGTGGTTTTACTTTATCCTTTATACTTTATCCTTACCCTTTTCCTGTGGTTTTACTTTATCCTTACCCTTTTCCTGTGGTTTTTACTTTAATCCTTACCCTTTTCCTGTGGTTTACTTTATCCTTACCCTTTTCTGTTGGTTTTACTTTATCCTTACCCTTTTCCGTTGGCTGTGGTTACTTTATCCTTACTGTGGTTTACTTTATCGTTTAACCTTTTCCTGTTGGTTGTATTTAGTGTTAATATTCTCCTCGTGCTGGGTCGTTCATGTGTGTTATTGTTTCATATTTTGTGTGTGTGTGAATGTTTATGTGTGTGTATATGGGTGTGGGGATGTATTTATGATTGTGTTTGTTCATGTGTGCGTTTTATTGTGCGTGCAAGTACAGATCTGATCTTATACTTCTTGTACAGAACATGAGCTTAATCACTGGCAATGGTAGAAGAGTGTCTGGTTCTAAAGATGCAACCAATTCCTCAGAGTATGTGTCATAATTACTCGACACAGTAAGCCGTCACACGGCAT